GTCCTCAGAACATCTGAGAGAAGCAGAGGGCACTATTAAATGGGACACTTTCTGGAGCAAATGCCCTTTGCTGTCATGAGGCCTTCTGAAGAACTCTTTTCTTCTGAGCCTTCTTAGCATGTAAGGATAGTTTTTGAACTGTATGTATACTGAAGAATTAAAGCAAATTTGTTACAGATGGCTAACTCCTCAACAGCTAGCCCAGTGCCTGTAATTGGTCATATTTTCAGGGTGTTAGGAGGATGAAAGATATATCTGGGTCCTGGTGTCCCTGAATTCTTGGACTGTTGCCTTCGTGACCCAGCTACCCCTATGAGCTTAAAGGGAGATCTGTACAAGAGGAAGGAATTATTCCTGCAGGAAGAGGAATATATATGTATATCTTATATAATAAAAGGGTAATATGCAAATCGACCAACCGGCAGAACAACTGGTCACCATGATGTGCACTGATCACCAGAAAGCAGACGCCTAATGTGGGAGCTGCCCAGTGCTCAGTGCGCCAGAAGGCAGTGAGCGGGCCTAAGCTGTCAGTCAAACATTCCCCGAGGGCTCTCGGACTGCGAGAGGGTGCAGGCTGGGCTGAGGGACTCCCCCCCCCCCCTCTGCCTGAATTTTGTGCCCCAGCCCTCTAAAATACACACACACACACACACACACACATAATTGATTTCAAAGAGGAAGGGAGAGGGAGAGAGAGATAGAAGCATCAGTGATGAGAGAGAATCATTGATCAGCTGCCTCCAGCACGCCCCCCACTGAAGATTGAGCCCACAACCTGGGCATGTGCCCTGACAGGGATTCGAACCTGTGACCTCTGGTTCATAGGTTGACCTTCCACCACTGAGCCACGTTGGCCAGGCAAAATGAATACTTTAGTATCAGCTGAAGTTCTGGCCACAAATCTCAGTGTAGAAGTATTTTGAGAACTGGATCAGGCCTCATGTAGTTTTTGTGTCTATGGTCTAAGACAGTTAGAAGTAGGCCAAATGACCTCTTTAGCCTGTTTTCTCTACTTCTACAACCATATCTTTGTCCTACAAAGCTTGTCAGTTACACAGGAAAGGAAAGATGAAAAACTCACTGAGGTTAAAACAGCATCTCTGTCTAAATCTGAGAGTAGCTTTAGTGAACCACCCATTTTGGGCCTCCTTTCCTCTGGGTATTGTCCTGGCTCCCACTGGTTTTCTTTTTTCTTTTTTAAACTTTTATTGATTTCAAAGGAAGAGGGAGACAGAGACAGAAACATCAGTGATGAGAGAGAATCATTGATTGGCTGCCTCCTGAACATCCCCTCCTGGGATCAAGCCCACAAACCAGACATGTGCCCTGATTGGGAATTGAACCATAACCTCCTGGTTCATAGGTCCATGCTCAAGCACTGACCCACACTGGCCGAGCACCACTGGTTTTTTTAAGGAGAGAGGGAAGTCTTCCTTCTAGGTTTGAATGGGCTTTGGGTCCCTTCTGACTCTATCAGCTTTTGGCGAAGAGAAAACTTGAAGAAATCAAACCTGAAGAGAAGAATCCATTAGGAGGAGGTGTCAAATAAGCACATCTTCTTATTTTTTTAAAATATATTTTATTGATTTTTTTACAGAGAGGAAGGGAGAAGGATAGAGAGTTAGAAACATCGATGAGTGAGAAACATCGATCAGCTGCCTCCTGCACACTCCCTACTGGAGATGTGCCCGCAACCAAGGTACATGCCCCTGACCAGAATCGAACCTGGGACCCCTCAGTCTGCAGGCCGACGCTCTATCCACTGAGCCAAACCAGTTAGGGCAAATAAGCACATCTTCTTTGAATATTTTACTGCAGTGATTTTCAATCTTTTTCGTATCATGGCACATGTAAACCAATTACGAAAATTCTGTGGCACACCAAAAGATATCTTTTTTGCTGATCTGACCAAAAAATTAGTATAATTTTGATTCTTTCACACCGGGTGACCATTGTTGTGTTGGCTGCTGTCATTTTTTTATTTGATAGTCGGAAAAGAGGTCAGTGCCCCTGACTAAATAGATATTGCGTCTTTTAAAAATTCTTGTGGCACACCAGTTGAAAATCACTGTCTTAGTGTATCATGATGAGGCACCCAAGAATGCCCCTGATGAACCCTGAGAGGAAAACAGGAATGGAAAGGGTAGTGAGACGACCTTTAGTACTATTGAATGATTGGGGAGTGAGTGAACACGTGAATACCCTTTCTGGATTGGCATCTTGATAAAAATTTGCTCCAAGGAAGTCTAACAATTTTAGAGAGAATGATAATGTGAAGGTTCTTTTTAGTTCGAGGTCTAAAATTTATCTTTATTTATGGCAGTGGGCTTATTTAGGAAAGTTGTGAAGGCTTGTTTAGGCTCGAGAAAAGTCAGGATTCTACAAATGATCACTGTTGATTGTTTTGTACCATTTGAACATGCTTGTTTTACCAGAATCACAGAATTGTGGGATTGGAGGTTCTTAAAAGATACCTAGTCCCATCACTGGGAAGTGATTCTATGGATATACAAACACTTGTGTATAGGGATAAATGTGCAAGGCTGTTCATCTCAGCATTATTGGTAGCAACAATGACAATTTTAAAAAGCCATGAAACAACCAAAATGTTGATCTGCAGTAGTTAAGGAATTATAATACATTATATATGTGTAGGATGTATCATTAGGTAAATAAAGCAAGCTGCAGAACACTTGCTTTATATATATTCTATATAATAAAAGCCTAATATGCAAATTGACCGAACGGCGGAACGACAGGTGGCTATGATGCTCAATGCAGGAGCTGCCCCCAGCCCGCAGGCCCCAGGCCAGCCAAGGCGTGTGCCAGCGGCCCTTCCTCCCCCCGATTGCCCCGCCAGTTGCCCCACAGACCGGCCCTGATCACTAGCCAGGCCTAGGGACCCTACCCATGACACTAGAGGCCCAGTGCACGAAATCGTGCACGGGTGGGGTCCCTCTGGGTGGCCCGCAGGGATTGGGCCAAAACCGCAGTCCAACGCCACCTGCAGCTCCTACCTGCCACTCCCACTCATCCTGGGCCCATTGTGCCTGCCGAGGGCTTGCGCCCAATCAGTCCTGATCAATCGGGAGAGGCTCACACTGCTGCAGTAGCACTCGCCAGCCATGAGCCTTGCATCTGGTGCCCTCCCAAGGGGAGTGGCCTGTGGGATCAGGCTGAAACCAGCTCTCCCACATCCCCCGAGGGGTCCCAGATTGCAAGAGCGTGCAGGCCAGGCTGAGGGACCTCACTGGTGCATAATTGGGATGGAGAGGGACCATGGGAGGGCTCCAGGGTTTGTCCGGCCCATCCTGCTCAGTCCTGATTGGCCGGACCCCAGCAGCAAGCTAACCTACTGGTTGGAGCATCTGCTCCCCGGTGGTCATTGCACGTCATTGCAACTGGTCAACCAGTGACCGACTGTCCCCTGGTGGTCAGTGCATATCATAGCAAGCAGTTGAGCAGCCTTAGATATCATTAGCATATTATGCTTTGATTGCTGGGGCTTACTAAGTTCCCACTTTTAATCTGTTGAGCTGTTTGAATGTCTTACAATAAGCATGTGTTCTTTTTTAAAAAAATATATTTTTATTGATTTCAGAGAGGAAGGAAGAGGGAGAGATAGAAACATCAATGATGAAAGAATCATTGATCGGCTTCCTCCTGCACACCCCCTACTGAGGATCAAGCCCGTGTCCCGGGCATGTGCTCTTGACCGGAATCAAACCAAAGACCCTTCAGTTCGCAGGCTCTATCCACTGAGCCAAACCACTAGAGCAAGCATATGTTCCTTATCACTTAAAAAAAGTCACCTCATCTTATATCCTGACTGCTGAAGCATCCTTACCAAGTGGTCATCCTGGCTTTCTTAGAACATTTCCAGTGGTGGGGAAATCCTTACCTCTTAACTACCAGACAGTGTTTTTACCAGTACCCTTCCAGATGATAATTCCTTCCTATTATGATATGATCTAGGATTCCAGGGGTTGGTTCTATCAATCTTGTCTTGAGGGGCCTGGAGCTGGATGGTGCACAATTTTGACAGCTAGTTCTTGGTATTTTTTCAGTTAAAAAATTATTTTTGAATATATGATCAGAAACTAATGTCTTTTGGTGATCTCACTCATGTGGAATATAATTAACAAAATACACTGATGAACGGAGTGGATCACGAGACATGGAAGCATGGAACACAATACGGAATCTCAGAGGGAAGGTGGGGAGGGCCGGTGGGTGGGAGGTAATCAATCAAAGACCTTGTGTGCATATAGGTATAACCCAATGATGCAGACAGAGGGTGGTGAGGGCCTGGGGCGAGGGTGGGTGTGGGCTGGAGGCAAGAGAAACTAATATCTTCTGGGAAGAATCTTCAAGATACTAGAATAAAATACTTTTTAGGATGTCATTTTAAGGACGATATGAAGAATGTATATAACAAAAGAGCTTTGGTTTTCAAGGAACCTGATATGTAAATGGGGGTGGGGGCAGTATGTACACCCGAGCATACATGAATAAAAGCACCGTTACACTCCAGGAAAAGGAAAAAATCAGTAAATGCCAAGGGGAGTGTGAGGATGTTGACTGAATCCATGGAAATGCTGGTTGGAGCAAATGGACTTAGTCTGGATTTTGATAAATGGGGAGGGGGTAGGTGCAGGGGATAGCAGCTTTTGGTGGTAGAAAGAAATGGTGTGACTAGAGGTGGAAACCCAGGGGACAGTGGGTGTGTGCGGGCCTGTCTGAGTGGTAGATGTTTGGAGGAACTCTCTCTCCCTTTTTGAGGATGGTGCCCAGGGGAGAATCATGCCCACACAGTATGTCCCTGGAGCCTTCTTGTTGAGCCCCTGAGGCCAGTCCTGTGGACTTGCTGTGGCAAGTCAAAGTGCCTGGTCCATGCGTGTATGTTTCCTAAAGATCCCTTTCACCTGAGATGGCTGTGAACCGACAGGATTTTGATTTTGTACTATGTGAGACGTGGAAAATAAAGGCGGGGACTGTTTTTGGAATATTCTTTTTATTTATTTATTTTATTGTTTTAAAAAACATTTTTACTTTTTATATATCATAAGTGAAAAAGCATATAATCCAACACAATTTCAAAAACATTGGCCCCTACATTTGGGTCTCCTTGTGAGTATAGTTGTGGCTGTCACCGTCCAGTGCATAATGAAAAAAGAAAACAACAACAAAGGACCAAGATTTTTCGCTGAAGAACACATTGGGATGACTAGGATTCTAGTAGGATGCGTTCATTTGACATCTGTGTGCAGTTTTTCAACAAACTGGTCTTCATGCCATACCCCTTAGCTAGCTGGTTTTCAGGAAAATTACCTAGCTAGGGTAGTTAAGACTGAATTCACTGTCTCTCTTTCATTCCCCCTCATTTTCTCTCTCCCTTTCTCACGTGTCCACCGCTCACACACAGCAGCCGGAAATGACACACTGAAGTGAGTCACCGATGCAGCTGTGAGTCACCCTATAATTGGGGAAAGTTCTGTCCTGCTAGGTCGTGCATCCCTTTGCACTCCTGCTCCTAAATGCATTGGAAAATTTTAAAATCTCTCTGTCCTCACTCTAGTCTCTCTCACCCACCACATCCTTTGGGTCCCTAAAGTGGGAAGTTGGGTAGTCTTGGCAGGAGTCCTAATCCATCAAGTGGAAAGGAAAGGAAAGAAGAGCGACGGGGTTCAGGCAGCCACAAGGTGGCAGTGTGGGCCCCTCACGCTCGCCGCCCAGAGGGGTATGGCAGCTAAGTGACCAGACTCCTGAGATGCAATCACACAGATCACAAAGGAACACTAAGCAAGTTTAAATAATATGCTTTTTTGTTAAATAGTCCTCGTTCTCTCTAACAAGCACACAAGAATTGTGATAAATATTCAAGCACACCTCTGTCATCCTACCCTCCCCACTAGGAGATTAGAGCACACCTTCCTCTATTCCTGCAAAATAAAGTTTGTGGGAAGCAGAAACCTGCTTCTATAAGTAAACAAGTCACCTACACTCCAAAATGATAGATGCTCACTGTTTCTGGGGAGGGAGACAGCCAGGCCAGGGTGAGACCCTGCAGCTGGTCGCAGCATCCTGTGCTGGAGAAGGATGCATCTTGCAATGAAAGGGGTTTCTTCCATTGGTCTTCTCTGGCCCGACGCCAGCCTCCTCAGCAGTGGCAGACAGTGCAAAAGTTAGGGCAACGTGACTGGAAAGTTTCTCCTGTAAGCCTTGCGGTGCCATCTGCCAGGGCCTCAGTGGGACCCAGATCTGAAGACCCGAAAAGGCAGAGCCATGGGCAGAAGCAGCTGCACACGTGGCTCTGAGAGTTTTACAGTCGGATTTGGAGACCTCCGGGGAGCAATGCTTCAGCGGTCCCCGCTAGGGTCTCTCCACTGGGGAGTTTTATCGAAAGGTCCCCTTTTCTCCCTTGGAGAGGCTGAGGTCTAAAAGGCAGAGTTACCATTTAAAAAAAAAAGCGAATATCTTCTCTTCTCCAGAAAGGCTAATTAAAAGTTCTTTTCTTCGCAGTTTCTTCTTCTCTGATACATCTCCAGTTCTGTCCGAGTTGAGAACTTCTTTTTACATGGTCAGGGTTCCATCACTTGGCCCATGAAAAGGACCGTTCCTGAGGACAGAAGAATCGTGGGAAATGAGAACTGGGAGGAATGGCAGAGCTCACCAAGCTTGTAGTTATGGGGGAACTAAGATGAGTGAGATGTCTGGAGTCACAGCTGCTTTAGTGACCAAGCTAGGACTGGGGTCCTGGCACCGCACTCCATCTATGAGAGAGCACTGCCCTTGAGGAGGGAAGAGGAACAAAGCTATGGATTCCTTGCCTAGAGTCCTGGGGTAAGAGGGTGTCTACACTTGTCTGGACCAGTGCTGACATGGGGGAGCATTGTGGCCTCGGGCTCACCTGTGGGGTTGTGCCGCACCACAAAGAGGAAGGGTCTGTCCATGATGATCTCCTCAGGGGCCATTCGGGCTGAGACGGTAATGGCTGGAAGAGAAGGGACAATGTCTTAGAACAGAGGGAAGTAGGCACTGGTTCCTGGACCTGAACCTTAAAAGTGCAGGGAAGCCTCCTGAGGCCTGGTTTCTTCCAGGAGCTTGGTGGAGATCCATCAGCTGCTCCCCTTCAAACAGACTTTTATCTAAACCCTTTTAGGGCATGTTGAGAATCAAGTTCCTTAAGATGACTAGCCACTGTGAGAACAACCCAGACTTTCCTTTGGAGATCTTTCACATTCAGAGGACCTCAGGAGCCACCGGAGTAAGGGAATGGGGTTCCAGGGAAAGCAGGCCCATTTTTCCTGGCTGAGAAACACCAAGGAAGAAAGGGCAATACTCCCCGCACAGGAAGTGCTGCTCTGTGAGGCCTGGTGAAGCAGGGCAGAGGAAGTTCATCCCAGGTGTAGGTGCCATAGGGACCCCTCCTGTCAGCCTTGGGCCAAGACTTGCCAGGCCTCACCTGTAGAGGAGGATGCCTCCGTGCCTCTTTCATTCACCTTGATCTTCACTTTTTGCAGTGCCTGCGATACGTAAAGAGGCTCTTGATCTGAAACAGGAGTGGATACAAGAGTAGATCAGCTGTGGTTTTCCGGGAACAGCTCCTTTATCCTATAAAGGGCCGCACAGCCCACCCGGATAAGAATGAAAGGAAAATCTCTTACCTGAAAAAGTCGAGAAGTCCGCCTGGCTTGGACTAAAGATGTTGGTCATCCCCAAGTTCTCCAAGGGCCTCCTGAGGTCAACTTCACTCTCTAGGGAGAACCTATAGACAGGAGCAGAAAACAGCTCAAGCTCAGGCTACCTCGGGCCACCTCTCCCTGTCCCTACCAGGTATCACCCTGGCAGCCTGATAGGATTGGGACTGATGTGAAAGTAGAAGAGGGAGGCTTGTGATTTCAAGGTCTCTGCTTGCTAGAGGTCTAATATTAATGAACATTCTTATGACTAATTATTCTTCTCAAGTAAGACAGTAGTTTATTTTGTCTTAGGGAAAATTCTGGTCTGTAGATTGTGTTTCTGAGAGCTAACCAGAAGAAGACTCAAGCAGCGAGGCTTTGGGCTGTTCTCTGCTCTCCATCAGGGCACAACTAATTACTTCCATTCTTGGATGGGAAGGAGGAAGGGAGGGAGGGAGGGAGAGAGAGAGAGAGAGAGAGAGAGAGAGAGCGAACTAACCAACTAAATTCTCCTCTTTCCTAGGGCCTCAAATGAAAGTATATGGGAATTTGGGGTAAGCATGGTGGGAGGCTTTCCTACAATTCTGGAATTAGCCCCAGCCTTCTCCACCCTCTGCTTCTGCAGAAGGATTTTAAAAATCTGTTAGACACTGTAATTCCAGCTGCTCCATCTGCACAAGTGATTCCTTTTGTTCCCATTTTTGGATGTTGACTTGAGAAGATGGGGTGGGAGTGAGGGGCATTCATAAAAAGGTGAAGGCAGATTTAGCCTCCCACCTCTAGTATTTCTCTGGCTCTTCCTTTGGCTGGTTTTTGTTGGATATTCTTAGGGAGGCGTATGCAGGGCATAGTCTAGAAAACCCCTCCTTGCCCTCTAGCAGAAATGGGAGGAGGGATGATGAGAGGAATCTTAATCAAACCCAGGCAGTTTCCCATCAGCCTCCCACACATGTCCCTGCCCTGCAAACATCACATTTGGGAAACTCAACACGGGGCTGTGTTTTCAGGAGAGAGGAGAGGCGGGAGATGAGAGGATTAAGGCAATGGCAAATGTGGCTGGAGCAACGGGTGGCTTACTTGGGCAGAATCAGGAGGCGGGGCAGACGGGTCATATTTCCTTTCCACTGGCTGATGAGCTGGGCATCCAGAATGTTGGTGAGGGCTGAGAGAGGCACCTCTTTTTCATAAGGAGCAGCAATGAACATGCTGAGCGTGTCGCCATGGTAGGGCAACTCCAAGATGTCGTAGTAATGGCCATCAGGGGTGGAAAACTCAGCTGTGAAGACACCAAGATGGCGCATTGAAAATGATTCCAGCTCTTGTTGATTCTAACCCAGCACTAGATTTTCAACTAGTTCTCCTGTCCTCTCCATTCTTTTGGAAGCCAGCTTTCCGTTCTGGCTTTTGAGGCTCCCACACCCACAGCTCCCCTATTCAATGTTTTCATTTCCATTTCCCTTATTTCCTGCCAATTCTGTTTCTTCTGGTTTCTCTGTCTCTTTCTGTCTTTATAGTCACATCTGCTTCCCCATATCCAGCCACTAATTCATTCCAGTCCTCTTCTCCTGAATCTCAACTTCCACATCGCCCTTCCCACAGCAGGATTTGTGGGCCATATGAGGATGTGAGATGGGGTCAAGTGGCCAAACATGGGCCTGAGGGAACTGCTGGGTTTCAGCTTCATCTTGGATAAGATAAAGCTATTTTCTGTTGCTCCAATTATCCTAGTGTCTCCTATTTGGGAAGTGTTTCTTAAAGCTGAGGTATATTCTAGGGTTTCTCCTCCCTTAAAGGGGAACACCCAGGGATGGGGTCCAGTAGGTACGGGTTTGGGGAAGGGTGTCTTGCACTTACTGTAGTTGAATTTGCTCGTCTGAGTCATCATGGGCACCGAGACAGTGCTGCCATCGGACTTGTGGAAGAGGCGGTGGTGGGTGCCCAACTCTGGGAAGGGTGTCTTCCAGTGGCCATTGAAGTACAGGGCATTCACTAGTACCAGGCGTGTCAGACTGTCCACGGCCCCTTCACCAAGTAAGTCACTAATCATGCCTATGGGAAAACCAGGTGATCAGGAGCTAGATCTTTTCTTAATCCTCTTAGGTAAGTTCTCTTCAACTCACAGGCTTCAAATGGATGTGTGTCTATTGAAGTGATCCAGTCAGAAGATAGTTTGGGGGTTTAGATAAACCAATCTAGCCATTTTCAACCTGTTTCATCTGCTTGAGGATCTCAGAAAGCCTCCCAGCTCATCACACTTTCTTGAGCCTGGGATCCTGTCTAGGATCAGACCTGGAAACTTAAGTCTTCCCTTATTGTGCTCCCTAAGCTGTAGTCTTGAAGGGGTGTGTGTGCTCCTTATCATGGTTAGTACCATTCTAATGACATTGTACAGCACTTTTTAGGGCTGCCTGTTGAGTTGGTTCATGAGAAGACCTAATTATGAAAACTATGACACTGATGCTTAAATCACTTGACCTTCTGCCTACAAAGAAAAGAATGCTGAAAGGGAGAGGTTGGTATATTTGGGATTTGTTCCCATAACCCCTTTCTTGGCAGGCCCTTGGGCCCGGCTTCCTTGCCTTGCCTACTCACCTTTTGTGTGTCTCTTCACCCAGTCATTGATGATGAACCTGGCTCTCTCAATCTCTGAAAAGTCCACCTGCTTGACTGTGGTGCGGAACAGCCTGAAGAAGTGAGGCATGAAACCTTGAACCAGCTTCAGATCCCGCTGGACGAAGATGGCATCGGCGATGCTGATCTCATCCTTGTTCCATGGCCCCATGAGTTCCTTGTACAGTTGACGAAGGGCAGGGGCCATGCCCTTCTCTGCGCCAGAGGAAGGAAAGGACACATCAGGCTCATGTTCAACCAAGGGGTCCCAGCTGGGCCAACCCTCCCTCATGAATGGGCTCTTCTGCTTCCCTAGGTTTCTCTAGAGCAGTGGTTCTCAACCTTCCTAATGCCGTGACCCTTTAATACAGTTCCTCATGTTGTGGTGACCCCCAATTTCATTGTTACAAGTTGAACATAATTAAAGCATAGTGATTAATCACAAAAACAATATGTAATTATATATGTGTTTTCTGATGGTCTTAGGTGATGCCTGTGAAAGTGTCTTTCAACCCTCAAAGCGGTCTAGACCCACAGGTTGAGAACCGCTGCTCTAGAGGGAGATTTCATTCCAAATCTTAATCTCTTTTGCATCTCCCTCTTTTTCTCAAAAATATCAGGTCTTAATCCTTTGTTTGGGTTAGAATATTTTTCTGCTTTTAAGTTATGAACCCTACATTTTTTCTCATAATAATAATAATAAGAGCTATGCAAAGCATTTCATATAGACAATTCTGTTTAATCCTTACAGCAGCCATCTGTGCTAGGTACTTTTATTATCCCCATTTTGTTCATGAGCAAACTGAGCCTTATTTCTGTCTCTTTCTTCCCTTAATTTGCCCCAGAGGGGTTAATGAGTGAGATGAGTTAAGATTATGCTAGGGGTTAAGATTATGCAGCTAATAAGTGGTCATGCAAGGTTGTTTTACACCAAATCCACTGGCCTGTACACCTTGCGACTGGTCAAGGGTCAAGTGACACAGGGTGTGGTGGTCCCTATGACATGCAGTACAGGTGTTGGCTCAGCTAAGCTGGAGTCAGCCTTTCCTCTGCTTTTGGTTGGTTACACCCTAGTTCTGTGAAGGCTGCATGAGTGCCTGCCTCCTACTTTGCCCATCTCTCACCTTCAATATCGAATTGCATTGCCGCTTGGATCTGCTGCCTGGTTTCTCCTGTGGTTGTTAGCTGCAGCATGGCGAGGACTGAGGCCACCCCATAAGGTGAGAAAATCACATTATGGTCCTTGGAGGCCTGGGCCACCTGCTGAAACACCTTCACTCCAAAATCTGTGACCATTTGGGCCGCCTCAAGCTGGCGATGGTCTGAGGCAGATCCTTCACCAAGGATGAAGGCCAGGCCCAGAGCTAGGCAGGCAAAGACTGGGGACACTTTCATCCTAGAGCAAGTGGGAAAGAATCTGATGAGAGCATAGTTCTAGAAGAATGGTGAATGGGGAGGGGAGATGACATCCCAGCCATGGGCCATGCTTCCCATGTTTGTTGCTGACAGGTGCTAAATGAGCACAAGGGCAAGAATCACTAAGAAACCATGATGGGGCCCTGGCCAGTGAGGCTCAGTTATCCCGTAACTCAAAAGGTGGTGGATTCAATTTCCCGTCAGGGCACATACGCAGGTTGCGGGTTCAATTTCTGGTCTGGGTGATTGTGAGAGGCAACTAATCGATGCTTCTTTCTCACATTGATGTTTCTCTCACATCGGATGCTTCTCTCTCTCCCTTTCTTCCTCTAAGAACAATTTTAAAAATGGTTAATAATAATAATAATAATAATAATAATAAAGAAACCATGATGGGTTCAGATTCTGCAATCACTGCTATGGAGGCATCTTAGGCTGCAGGTCTTGGGGAGGGGATGGACAGAGGCAAAGTGGGGATCTTGGACGGGGAAATTCTGTACAGGGGCATTCTCTACCTTAACCCAAGGGAAAAGATGGAGAGAGTTTGATTTCCTCTTACCTGAAGTTCTCAAAGTGCCTTGTGAATGGTGGTTTGTCCAGCTGCTGCTGCAGATGGTGGTGATTCTGTTGCTGCTGGAGAGTGGTGTGTCTCTCTTGACAGTGCCCTTAGCCCTGCAGCCAAACACAGCTGTGCTGTTAGGGAGGCAGCTGCCTGCCTTTATACCAGAAATGGGCAGGAAATAGATTAACTCATGGCCCAGCCCCACCCACTTTCTGGCTTTGGAAGTCTGACTCCCTGAGGCATGTGTGTGCGTGCTGCTGCTGTGTATGTGTACGTGTGAAAGGGCTCCGGAACGATTGAGCAACCACCACAGCCTTGACCTAGGGGCCTCCCCTGATTTTGCTGCCTTCCACCTGTGTCCCTCTCTCTTTGGATGTTATGCCAGCCTGACCCCTGGCAGTGCCAGACAGCCCAAAATGCCCAGTGTTTGAGATTACCTCCCCCAGTGCTCAGTGTGGGGGAAAACATTTTACATTTCCTCTTTTTCCTCTGGGGAAATGGGTCACCACAGATTTATCAAAGAAGCTACGGATCCTGTGGACTTCTGTCTGCCAGCATCGTCTGTCCACACCATGTGCACGGTAGCTGAGGAAGAATGCCTCTCCCTCCTCTTGGCCACATCCCAGTGGCCACAGGGTGCGGAGCGTGCCATGTGATTGTCTGGATTTTGACTGTCTAAGACATGAACCTGGCAGAGGACTCCCTCCAGTCTTTCCCTCTTCCCTTTTAGAGTGTCGTGGCGGATGATGCATGGCTGACTCTCCCACGTGTCCAGACTCTTGAGTTGCCTCTGAGGGCTCTCTTTTGTGTAAACAGCCCTGTCTGGCAGGGATTTGAGGTGTACTGGGTGGGGTGGTGGAAGGACCAGGGGTTACTCAGGTAAAGTCTTGCCAAGGAATTAGTAGCCCAACATGTAAGTTTTGTTTCTCTGAGCTGCCCACTGTGACTGGGGAGAATAAAGTCTTATTCTTTTCCTCCAGATGCAGATATTGGAGGGCTGGAGCAGCACAAGTAGGGATAGAAAAGAGGGCTTCAATTCCTGGCTGGTTTGTGGGGTGTGCTCCTAGGGCATTGAGTTTGAAGTGGAAGAGTGACCCAAGAATTTTATAGAGGATGGAAATTGGCTGGAGGCAAGTGAGTGGAACTGGACTACTGCATTTGGGGGCCTGGCAGGGTCAGGTACCCTTGGCCATGTGGCCTGGATGTTGTGGCTAAGTGCCAAGGGGTCCTGAGAGATGGAGAGAGATGGTGCACTTGACCTGGGGTCCACACACTGTCATGATTTGTGTAGGTGGTAGCGTCCAAGTGGGAGTATCCATGGAGACAACCAATAACAGATTCACAGGAAGTTTAAGTGGGTGGAAGTGTCAGAATATTTGTTTTGGATTTTTTTAGTAAACAGATACCAAGGGCAACCACAGCTGGATGGTTTTCCCAAGTTTACTCTGATTCTGCCTTTGTTTTCTCCTGTTTCTCTTGGGAATCAGGTGGGGGTGGGAGGGAAAAAGGGACAGTCCCTATTGGAAAATTAGAATCACCGACCCATTACAGGACTGTTCCCATGCAGTTATTTTTATTTATTTATTTATTTATTTATTTATTTATTTATTTTGTAGTTGCTTCTTGTTTATTCCTTTTCCTTTTCCTTTTCTTAGTTGTGGTTTGGAGTCCCTGAGAAAGTGGTTAACCATGAAGAAGAAGCATTCAACCCTGACTTCTCTTGGGTGGAGAGGACAGAAGTCTAGCATCCCCCCCCCCACTTTTATCCCCAGAAATGCCCCCAGGGCCTTGTCATACACCCTTGGGGCTCAGAGAGAGACAGGGACTTGGGAATCTGGGCTGGGTTTGCCAAGTCCCAAGTTGGAAGAGCAGTGGGTTGAGACTCAGTCAGAAACTGCTCCCTCCTGGCACCTCACGGCCTGGCCGCTCCAGCCACTCCAGCTGAGCTTCCTTCCCTGCTCCACCGGCTATTCCAGGAGCCCTTGTCCATGGCCTTGCCGGGCCTCAGCCGTAAAGGCCCCTGCTATTCTCTGTGGATGGCCTGGACCCTGCCAGCGCTCTGACCAATTCTGGCCTCCTGCTGACCTGATGGATGATCCTAATGCCATTCCAGAAAAGACACTCTGTCCTCAGGCTCAGGAGCCCGGGAGCAGCTCTGTGTCCTATTGGAGGGAGAGGGGGTACTATACATTGGAAACAGAAAGGGCCGACTTACTTAGGGGTCTTTTCCTAAACTAGAAGGGACTTGTAAGCACCTGGATGTGTATTAGAAAATGAGGCAAAGCCTCGTGTAACCAAGTTCCATACCAGAGTTTCTGGTGAGCTAGGGCCACTAGATGACCTAAAACCAGACCGGACTGTGGTCCCTCTGCCCCTCCCTGTGAAATGGCTTTGCTTTGACCTAGTCTGTCCTCTGCAGACCTTCCACGTGGTGCTGCCTGACCACCCACTGCCCCCCCAGGAGACCTCCCTGCAATGCCTTTCTCAGAATCTGACCTGACTCAAGGGGTTGTCACTTTCTCTCCTTTCCCTGAACCCCAACTAACCGCCTTGACCCAATCCCCTCTTTTAAGCCTTGGCTCTTTTGTAAGGGGTCAAATGGACAGAGAAAAGTCCCTGCTGTTGAAATAGCTGGATCTCTGATTCCGGGAGAGTCAGAGATAAGAGGATGAGTTGCAGGGCTGTGGATTTTGGGGGAAGTTCCAGTTCCAGCCAACTGGGAAGATGTTTCCATCTGTCTTCTGCAGGTGGTTCGTGACTAGACCAGACTCAGACTCACATTTTCCATTACTGACCACCCCTCCCCCGCCACACACACACACCCACACACCCATGCCCAGGAGCCCTGCTTCAGTTTGGGCCTCGGGCCACTGATGTCAACCTCCAACCCTTCACCTCCTGCCCTCTAGCTGCACTCTGGCCTGCGCTTGCCTCTTCCCCTTTGCTACTCCGTTGCTCTCCCAATACCAACCATCTGCCCTCTTTTCCACTTTCCTTTTCTTGATCTCTTCTGTTCAACCATCCATCTATGGGGCTATCCCCATTTCTTCCCCAGGTCCCCTCAAGCCGCAGCCTCGCGAGCTCACTCCCATTTCTCCACTCTTTTCTTTTCTACTCTCTATGACTCAATCC